AGCCAGGAGGACATAGTAAATGCAACATAACTTCGATTGAGAACAATATCTTTACATATGTAATTTATGCTGTTTGTTGTTCATGATATATATCCACTAATTAAAAGCTTAGGTACAGCAATAACCAAGAAGCTCAATGCGACACCTATTCACGAATACCAAAAAAAAACTTTTCAGAAATGTATTCATACGATGAAGCTTTTTATAAATAACATCTTATTTTTATTGCATAGAAATAAAGAAATATTTCACTTTCTTCTCTATAGATAAAGATTGCTATAGTCCTATTATTTGTTTTAAAAAATGTTTAAAAAAAGTTAGAACTGTAGTTCTCATATTCATTGGTTTTTTAAATCCTCATTTTACACGTCTGCAATTTTTGTGACTTCATATATTGCTCAAAGAAAATGGATGTGCAAAGATAATACTAAACAGAATATAAGTTTACGAGTATTTGGCATAGTACATTAGAGTACATCAAAACTATATAGGAGCATTCTAGAAAACTTCATCATCACACGACGAGTACTCACTTGCTGTACTCAGATAACAAGTTGTTGGTACGAGCACTACCGATGACTACTCGAAATCTGCGAGTATTCTTGAGTTCTCGCGGCATGTTCTAGCGTACATGTTTTTTGAATACTCACTTGATGACTCCCTTCACTGGAGTAATCTGGTAAAATTTAGTCTAGAACGGTAACTAGACCAGGTTTTGCGCTGGTTTCTTTGCCGAAATCGGCTATAAAGATACAACAGCGTTTAGGCAAAAAAGTTCTTTTATTTTTTTTATAGATTGCAGCGTATTTGGATCCATTTACACTTGCCGAAATGTCTGTTGAAGAAACTAATGAAGCTTAATTTTCGATAATGCGTGAAGCTAAAACTTTTGCTTTTGGAAAAAGCCATCATCTACAACAACAGCTACAAGAGAACAACTACAACAGTCAAGTGCAACATCATCATCATCGTCAACAAATTCATCAAAAAAATCAAACTTACCAACAATAAGTCAATTCCGAACGTCATGTCGTTCTTCATCAATTGATTCAGCAGCTGCATCCAAATAAGAAAAACAGAAACACCATTAACATTAAAACAAGAATTAAGTGTTCACATATCTACAAGTAGATCTTATGAAGATTATCAGCCTTATTGAAATGATAAAAAAACTTTATTACCAATTTTATCATCATTTACACGTCGTTATAACTGCATTTCAGCGACGTCAGTCGCATCCGAGTCAGCTTTCTCAGTTGCAGGTTACATCGATAGAAAACAATGGGCCTCGTTATTACCAACGACACTCCGATATTTGATGTTATTGAAAACATGAATATTATTCATCAGAATTTCATATGCTAAAGAGTTTTCTCCTATCAATTTGGTGTACACATCATGTTACAAGTTGTCGTAAAGTAACTAGAAAAAAACACTAGATTTTTATTGATTAACAAGAATAAATAATTAAATTAGATTTTGTGACAGCAACATATATTTTATGTACTTATCAAAAAAAAGTTTGTCAATAACTATCAAAATAAGATCATGCAAAACAATGAAAACAGTAAAACCTTGCTTTTATGAACACCAACAGGACGATTAAATATCTTTCACTATGTTAATGTGTTCATTATAGGGAGTTGATGAATTGCTTTCTGTGAAATAGAGAAAACGTTTTACAATATCAGCTTCCATATTATTTTTAGATAAAGGTTTACGTATTTATTCTCTTATGCATCTGATTCTAATTAAATAGTTGAAATTGAAAAGTTTTCAATCAAAATAGAAACTTTATTGTATTTTGAAAATGCTCTAATGTTTTTTTTCTCTTGTGGCTATTAAATTAATATAGATTTCAGTTAATTTAGATTTTAAGTCGATGATTACTATGGTTTTCATTTATAAAGTAATCGCGTGTTGGGATATCACTCTTTTCGTAATAAGTTAAAAAGTAAAATCACCATGAAATGTGCTCACGCAAAGTGCATAAAAGACAAGTGAAAGTGGAAAAAAAGAATTCAAAGAAACATCTTATGTGTGTTTACGTTAGAGATATTGCAATAGGAAGACAGAAAGCAACGATTGTTCACTGTCCAGTACAGAAAGGTGTTCATCTGCGAGGAACGTATTGTAAAGCTTTTTTTCGGAATAGAACAACAGTGGAAGCATTTTTGCTTTTCTATATAATGAAATAAACGTAGAAGAAATAGGAATTCATTTTACTTGAAAAAGTTGGCAGTTTAAAATTTTCTTTCCAAAAGAAACAGACGACCCCATTACTATTCAATATCAGAAAACATTTTGTATGAAGCACATATCTATTCTAAAAACCTCTTCAGTTTGAGAGCGAAGTAACTTTCGCCATGGAATGATGTTCCTCGCTATGAAAGAACAAT